TATCCGTTCAATGACTCAGCATGTTTTTTGGTGCTCCTTAATGCAAAAGCAACAGAAACTTTTTTATTTATGCTTTGTTTGGCTTTTCACAATATTGTTGCTGTTGCGGCTGTTGCTTGGCTTCTTGATGGTGTTTTGTATGTGTTCTTTTATTTTTTTTTTTTTTTTGGGAGGCAACTAATTTTGGTATTTAATTTGTGTTTGCTTTGTTAGCGCACAATGATTAGGTCGAATTTATGCGAAAATTTTATTAATTTGTTTGCCCAGGCGATTGATTGGAAATTTTCCACAACCAGGACCGGAAAATATGGCAACAATATAATGTTCAAACAGTTAATAAATTTTGTGCAGTTTACGATCCTCAAGAGTCCAATTAAAGGGTGCTATATAAAGCAGCGAAAGAAAACTTTATATTCCAGATATATGTATGTATATTTATGATGATGGAATTTTATAAATTTATAGTTGAAGCACGCTCTGCCTGATTTATTCATTAAGTTTGCACTGAGTTTATATAAGCATTGTTTATAGCCAAAAAAGAAAAAGAAAAACAAAAATTTGAATTGTAATATAATTAATTTGGTTTATTAGGCCAACTTGGAAATGTTAATCAAATTAGCCAAACATGCGCAGTTCAGCTGATGTCGATCTACGCCGAAACAATCCTGGCTTTAATGTCTACACCAATCAAGAGAAAAGAATATCGTCAGACTAACAAAAAAAAAAAAAAACTGATTGATGTGTATGTTAATCGCAATAACCCGAAATTTATAATAACTATGCACAAATATATAATTTCTGACTGACAGCCAGTGTAAACTTCCGCTTCATTATTAACCACTCTAGTGGAATAGGAACAGTGAAGCTTATCGCACCAGCCACTCACTGTTTGCATTGTAATTGGAGTGGCAAAGCCAATGGGGGGAAAGGTTCTGGGCATTTGAGCATATGGCCAACGGTCGATTATGTACAGTAACAATGCCAAAGCCCCCAGCTGGCCAAAGGTAAATAAATTCCAAAAGACATTAACGAAATGTTTAATTGCAGCCATATCATTTGATAACGTCTAATTATGCGAAGCTCAGGTGACATTGGTAAATCAATCAAAATGCTAACAATTAATGAGATATTTTATGAGTACATCAAACATCATTTATCGACGGCTAAAAGCGAGAATATTGGAATAAGAGAATATTTGATAGAGATTTATTTGTATGAGAAAATATTTAATAGAGAGTTATGTATAGAAGGTAAAGTAGTTAGAAGTGGGTTGCCATATATATATAAATGTATACAGTATTTATATAAAAGATATATATGATTCTTGCCAAAAATCGAGATATTGGAATAAGAGAATATTCGACAGAGATTTATTTGTATGATAAAATATTTGATAGAGATTTATGTATAGAAGTTAAAGTAGTTAGAAGTGGGTTGCCATATATATATAAATGTGTACAGTATTTATATGTAAGATATATATGATTCTTGCCAAAAATCGAGATATTGGAATAAGAGAATATTTGATAGAGATTTATTTGTATGAGAAAATATTTAATAGAGATTTATGTATAGAAGGTAAATTAGTTAGAAGTGGGTTGCCATATATATATTTAAATGTATACAGTATTTATATATAAGATATATATGATTCTTGCCAAAAATCGAGATATTGGAATAAGAAAATATTTGATAGAGATTTATTTGTATGAGAAAATATTTGATGGAGTTTTATATATAGGAGGTAAAGTAGTTAGAAGTTGGTTGCCATATATATATAAATGTGTACAGTATTTATATATAAGATATATATGATTCTTGCCAAAAATCGAGATGTTGGAATAAAAGAATATTTGATAGAGATTTATTCGTATGAGAAAATATTTGATGGAGATTTATGTATATATAAGTAAAGCAGTTATTAGTGAGTTGCCATATATATATAAATGTATACAGTATTTATATATAAGATATACATATATGATTCTTGCCAAAAGTCAGTAAAACGAAGCACAAAGAAAAGTTCAGCTCTCAAATGGAAAACTTAATAAAACGGTGAACTTTTTGTGAGTCTCAGAGCAGAGAGGGACGCCAAGGTGGCGGAATGCAATTGCCATGGCACTAAATCCATTCACACAAAAGCAAACACACACACATAAACAAACACAAACAAACCCACACACACACGCACACACAGGAACTAATGAAAGCAAGAAATATGAGACTGTTCCTTGAGTTTTAGCCGGCAAGGGGCAACTAAAATCGATAGTCTGCAGATCGCAAAAAGGTCATTTGAATATTTGCATGCGAGTCGATATAATTACCGATATAATTATGAAATAATAAACCAGTACGCCAGTATTTTATTGCATTTCTAATTAGGACATACCTGCGATTTCCGCCTGAGCAGCATTCGTCTGTGATACGCGCTTCTTCGGCCCTCGGCCCTCTGCGCTCTGCCCTCTGCCCACTGCAGTTGCCAGGACAACACACTTCCGGACTTAGGGCAATGTACGCAGCGACTTCATGGGCAACGGACTCGCCTCGAAGTTCAGTTGGGGGCAGCTAGCGCAGCTAGTATAGCTAGCATTTTAGCGCGTTCGACTACAACTTTGTTGTTTAGGTCAAAAGCCCGCAACGTAAACTGAAGTAGTGGCAGCAAAAGTCCGTCGAATTTCACTTCACACGGAGACGAAATGCACCACGAACCGCGCCAGGCAACCGACGTATACACTGAGTCTAGCCAAATGGACGAATGAATATGTTTATTGCTGTGCACCCCGGCTGAGCGGCTACGTCGCCAGCGACGCCATCGCCAACGCCATCGCCATTGCCTTTGCCATGTGCGCTTGTTGGCAGCACAATCAGCTGCGCTCCCAACTGCAGAGCACAAGTTTTCCCACGTGACGTCATCGTTTGTCGCATGCGCAGCACACGCGAGCGCAGCACAACAAATCATACAACCATCAAAATTGGCCAACTTGGCGAAATGCTCTCCCAAAACAGCGAGAATATGCTTCTCGCACGGCCGTACGTACAGCTTGTTGCTTTACGGCAATCCACAAACCAGCTGAGGGGGCGGGGTGGCGGCAAAGGGCAACGCTTTGGGGTTGATGCCGGCGCTGCACTACAGCAAATGTGTGGGGTCTATGCGACTGTGCAGGAGCTTCAAGAAAATGGACTTTCAATATAATTATGGAAGAGGGACAGAGAGAGAGAGAGAGAGAGAGAGAGAGAGAGAGAGAGAGAGAGAGAGAGAGAGATAGAGAGGAAGAAAGAGAGAGAGAGATATCAAGTCAATTATTAATCTTGTTCAAGAATAAAAGGAAATCCCCCTTAGGGAAATGCCTTACTCTGCCCGCTACATACACCATAGCCAAGCCAATATGCCCTAAACTCTAAACTAAACTCAAATTTTCAAAAATACTTATTTTTAGATTCATTTTCAAGAATTTTTATGTTATTGTTTTATTTCGTTTTAACGTTTCTTATTATTGTTTTTAATTTTAGCATCGTATATATTTGCAAGATGTTAACCCATTTATTTTTAGCCAAATCCATCCGACGACCTTCGACTATGACAACAATAAAGCGCTGCGCTAGTCTAGGACTAACAGAAATCTTTTGGTTCACTGAGACCCATCTGGCGAGGTCTGTAGAAATGACTATGTACTATATAATATACGAATTTTCCTCTTTGCATTTGGTTTTTCTTAAGATGAAAATTCTTAAGCACCTTTGGCAATTTAACTCTTTGAGTTGCTATAAAATTTAAGTACTGGGCTTTTATTGGCTGTTTAAGTATTTTATTGCCAGAAAATTAGCTTCGCCTTGAGGGTGGGGCCAAATAAAATGCTATAAATGAGGCATAATCGTGTTTAGCAAACTCGGTGTGCCTAAGTATTAATGATTAAAGATGTTTACTGTTTAGATTAGGGCAGACTAAATTTAAGGTAGAATACGTTTGCTTTAAAGCTTTACCTGCCTATCAGGAAATAATAAATCAAATCAAATTTGAGGTTTATTAGCTTAGTTCCTTACCCATGTTTAGTTCCAAGTTTTATTTACTTATTGAAATATAAAATTGACTACGAGATGAGTAGGATATACTGAATTCATACATAACAAAAAACACATGCACACACACACATACTCACCCTCACACACACACACATCTGCTGCTCTATGGGTAAAGCCCATGGGAACTCAATAGTTGAATTACTTTTCCTACAGTTGAACATTTTTAATGATATGCAAATTTAAAAGCATGACCATGACATCCACAAGTGTTCTCTCAAATCTCTAGTGAAATAAGCATGCAGGAATACACGATTATAATTTTAGTCTCTAGTGTTTATGATATACGAAAGCGTTTATACAGTTAGACAGACCTGCAGACGGACATGGGTCTTACGACACAGCTAATAGACCTGAGAAAGAATATATATGCATAATGCAGCCTGCCACACCCATTAGCCTGTTACATTTGTAAAATATATCTAAATATAAATTAAATGTATTATAAATAATTACATCAAATATTTTTTATTCTCAAAGAAAACATTCATTGGGTTTTGACTAGTGTAAAAGCCATTAATAGATATATAATAAAATTCCAATACATCGTATAATAGCATATATTCAAACAATATATCAACAGTATATATGTATATTTTATAATCCGTAAAAATCAGTTGCATTTCTAAAGACATTCAATTTTCATTTCACATTTTAATTTGATATAATATATACACACATTCATTGCCTAGTTAATATTAATTTATATACTATATATATGTATATAGATATATATATATATATAATGCATTTATCTAAAATAGTTACATATCTTGTAAATTATGTGTATGTTTAGGTGAGATTTCAATGGATGTTCGTGGAGGCCTGAGATTTCTTTGTATAGATGTAATAATAAATAATAAGAAAATTGAATTTAATTCCTAAGATCTGACATTATATATAATTATAATATATTGAATACATAGCTCCCACTTTGGCAACTGATGAGCCAGAACAAAATTTTAACTAGATTTGTGCTAAGTCTTTGCAGTTGTGCCCAATAATTTCATTTACAATATTAAACAAAACTGGGATAATATTTGTGTGATTAAAGCTTTAAACCATATTGTTAAATAAAAAAATGTAAAGCACTTCGTATAACTAATTAAGTTTCTTGCAAGGAACTGGCATAACACAACGAATTAAACACTTTGAGGCCTATGCTAAATAGGCTAAACTAGGAATTTACTAAACTAAATATCATCACCGAGCATTGTTAGAAGAGAGCATAGGGAGCTAGCAGTCAGCACCAGAGATGCCTGTGGTCGTATTCTCGCCATGTATAATTGAGTCCATTTCAATTTGTGAGAGATTCGCGTTGAGTAGCTTTTCAATTTGTATAAACTTCGAATTGGGTTCATCTACCGAGGCAGCATCCATATCTTGAACGCTCGCAGCTCTTGCCAGTGAATAGTTACGTTTCGCACGTTCTGAAATCAAATAGTTATACAATAATTTTCATTTCTATCTTATATGTATGTGTCAATTACCAAAACGTGCGCGTTGTGCTTCCTGATCGATGATTATCTCATTGGTTATGTAAACCTCACGTCTGATTTGATCCCGCAGCTCCACGCTCATGTCCGGTATACACCAGCGCACCAGTATCATCACTAGAGCTACAAAGTTCTGTTAAGAAATAAAATTTGTATTATTTCTGCAGTCGGCACAACCTTCAAAGCGCATTTGAATTCAACTAACTGCTAAACAGCACTTTACCCTTAGTGCTCCAACTGGTGGAGGTGCAATATTTCATCAGCCCAACACCTGATTGGGGTCATTAGCACAGAGTAAAGCCTTAAAAATGCGTCTGCTGTCATTTAGAACTTTGTTTTATTTCTAGTTAATTAAATTCGTTTAACCGATCAGCCAGCGGACACACTTTGCATTTATATATCTGCGAGAGCCAACAGCTTTATAGGGTCAAATAATTCGATAGATAGCCTAAGCAGGTGTAAAAAAAAAAAAACAAAACAAGACCACAAATTAAGACTAATATGAAGACACACAGAAGAAGCCCACACGCAGATCTAGTTCATGTGCAACAAATGTATAAGAATTTCTTGAAGAGTGAAAAGTGAAAAGCGAAAATGCCAGCTCAATGAAAATTGGGCCTCATTTTGCGAGACACGGCGACATTATTTGATTTAGTAGCGACAAATAGTTCGAAGCGAACGCACGCGTTCACAAACAAATTATAATAAATCAAGGATAACATAGGCAGGAATTTAAATAATATATCATTAAGCAATTGAAAAACCACAAATTTAAATAATGAAACGTTTCGCCTGTTTCAATCTGCGCACTTTTGGTCTAAGCATAGCCTGCTTGGATGCCCTGATAGCGCTGTGCATCCTCGGGCTAAGCAGCTTCTATCTGTACAATGACTTCATGGACTTTACGCAATGGCAACAGAATGATGTTCAGATCTTGAGTCCGTTCGGAGCATTTGTCGCCACACTGGGTAAACACTGAATCGAAGCGGAAGTAGACAGACCTAACCCATCTACTTTCCAGTGGACTATGTGCTGGTTCATGAGTTCTCACAGGCCTTCTATATGATACTAACTGTAACCGTTTGGGTAAAGGCATTGATAAATCTAGTGGTGGCTGGCATTCTAGTCGATGGCATCAAACAGGTGAGATATGCCGTTGTGTCCCACTATGATATCTCTCTATAAGTGTGTATTTAGCGACGACTTATATGCATTGCCCCCTGGCTGATCAACGCGTACGTCTCCATGGTGATTGAGGTGGCGATTTTCGTATTCTTGGAGGTGAAAATTGATGAAGTGGACGCCTCCATAGATCGACGCATAGCACGGAGTGTGCTCTTTGGTGTTTTCATAGGTAAGTTTGCCCTCTAACTCTAACTCTTAATCACAATTGATTTACATGGATTTGTCTAGTGCTGAACGCGCTGATTGCCTATGGCATCTATGCGCTCTATCGCATGCTGAAGACATCGACGAACGAGAATCGTGCGCTGCAGGAGAGCATTGTGGAAACGTCGGGTATGTTTCAGCACATCAAGGTTTGAAAGTTTGTCAAAGGTAATTAATTGCTATTCTATATACACCCGTACGACCAGAAGGAAATCTTATTTAAATTGGATAACATTAACCAAAGCTATTTTCTTAATTGATGTACAAGCATTTATGTAATGAAACAAATAAAACGAACCATGCTAAGACATATTGCTAAAAACTTACTTCAAACACCACAACAAATCCCAGGCGACAAGCTAAAATTATGTAAAAAGTGCTCGTCAAATGATATTTGTTCGGCGAAGTGGGCGGCTCTCGGTAATCCGTGTACCTGAGAGTAAAGTAACAGACATTAACTAATCGAATATCTATATAAAATCGATAGTGTATTTACTTGCACGTGGTTATGTTTGAAAAGTCTCCAGCTAAGCTACGTAGCTTGGATGAGTCAGATATTCTAAACTCGGACAAGGTAAAGTCCAGGTATCCATTTAAGCTTCCATCTGGTGACTTTAGGCTGCGATACACCAAGCGTGGTATCATATCCGAAGTGAAGGCAATAATGAAGCCCTGAAAACAACTTATTTAGTCAATGTTAGACGTAAAGCAAAGTGAAATCAACTCACATTCGTGATGACACTCAGTTTGCCAATGCAGTCCAGAATGCGATACCAAACGCCAATATCTCGGACACGCTGGGACACGGGCCGTTTGTGGTGGGTGAGCAGTTTCTTGGCATCCAGCCGCATTTCGAGTATGTTATTGAGAAGCGCAAAGAACGGCGCCAGCGGAAAGGCAGCCACGAAGATGGTGACAAAACCATATTGCAAAACCATTTCCAGATACTCGGGGAACAAGCTGCGTGCTCCCCAATCGAGTAGCTTAAAGTCACGCATCCAGCGCTCATCCTTGGCCTTGTCGGGCTTAACCGAATTGCCAAACAGACGTGAAAGGCCAACTTGAATAGCTTGCACCTTGCGCCAAAACATCGGCAGGTAGACCTCCAAAATGGTATTAAATGCCTGCTTGCCAATCATTATAATAGCCAGCTGTATGCAAAGCTCCGTCAAACAGCCACCCGAAGAGCACTGAAAGTAGGAAACAAATTAGACTTAGCTATATCATATCATATACCAGGAAAAGTCACCTCCTCTTGACGGTATTTAAAGACGGTAATATACTCTCCCGGATGCCCCACGAATTTGCCCTTAAAGAATGCTATATAAAATATCGAGGCGTAGTAATTCACGAACTGCAACAGATAAATCTTGAGCGTCAGCGAATCATCGAATTGCGTTTGCGTGCGCCACATTTCCAGCTCAGTCAGATACTCGGCCAAGTGATTGTATAACTAGGTAAAGGATAATATGAATATATATAATAAATATATACAAGTCAGGTTACTTACATAGTTCAGTATGTAGAGCAAACAGAGATTCACAAAGGCCGCCGATGCAGCGGCTATAACAATTGCTTTCGATGTGGTCATGCCACTGCCATCCACCTTGAGGGCTGCCAGCATGGACATGCGATGCACAACGACGGCAACGAGTGCCACAAAAGCCAAGGCAATGAGCAGCACCACAACGGAAAAGCTGAACACTGTCGCTGGCAGTTTCATGCGCCAAAACGGCACCCTTGGCTCCTTTATATTGGTCACATAGTCCGTGCGCGTGGGCTCAATGTGCTCCAAACGTGCCAGATACTGTGGCCGCGGATGCTCCTCGTGCACATCGAAGCCCGTCAAATCCCAGCGATGGGTTATCTCAGCCGAATAGCGTTTCCAGAGCTCCAAGAATAACGTCGCCCAAAATGACATAAAGACGGCAAAGAATATGGTGCTCGGGTTGTCGATGAGGTATGTAATTTTGGCATAATTGCACGTCTCGCCGAGATTCCAGAATTCACACCAATCGCACAGCGGGCACATTGTGGTGTTCGAGTTTGAGCGTAGGCAAATGTCCTTGCTGAAAATGATGATAGATATTGCTTAGTTATATCATAAACGGACTCTACTTGGCTAACTTACACGGGCACATAGTTATCGAGGGAAACCCAGGAGTAAATAAAACACGCGACGCCCACAATGGAAGCCAGCAGCAGCATATACGTATAGTAGCCCAACCAGGCAAAGTAGAGACCTAGAAAAGTGTGGGAAAACTGTGAGTGAGTGCACGAGTATGATTAAAGAGACGGACAACGCTTACCAATCTTGACGCCAAAGTACTCCTTAATGTCATCTAGCGGCTGATAGCGATACCATTTTTTCACTGAAGCCCAGTGTGTATAGAGCAGCTCCCGCATAGTGCCCTTCTCTGTAATTTCGCCCTGTGCAGTTAAATATAAATATATAAATATTTATTCAGATTTTATGTGCGCCATGCCAGCTACTCACATCATGTAGTGGATACGCCGCACAGTAAACACCCTCGGCCACCAGACGTTCAATGCCAAAGGCCATGTCATTCTGTCGCTTGGCAGGAAAACGCTGTCGATCCAAAATGAATTCCACGATACGTGAACGCACTGCCGTTGTGAAAAAGCAATCCTGACGTATATCGAACCTATAGGTAGAGAAAATTATATACAAATGATAAAGACTAGGGTATATTTTGTTGATCTCGGTGTTAACTCACAAATACTCCTTATCACGACTGTAGATGGCTGTGAAGCGATGCGCACGCTTTGGAAAGTAATTCTCGTCCACATAGATGTGTTGCAAAAAGAATTGGCAGGATGATCTGAGACTAGAAAAAACACTTTTTGAGGAACGATCAACCACAGACAAACCGGGTATCTGAAAAAATTTTAATATATTTATTAATTACTCGAAATAAAATATATTAGAGTTTACATGGAGAAAGTGTAGGATAACAAAACACAAAAACGGAAAAGAAATTGTTTATGTATATTTACAGATCTTTTAAAAATAATAAAAAATAAGAGTTAAACTACAAAAAAGAAGTTCTAATAGGATTGAAACTAATAGAAATTCTAGAGAATGCATAAGATAAGATCATCTTAAAGGGTTCAGATTGAGATTGAGTGGATTTACTCTAGCAATTGGATATTAAGTAGGGCGTTTATAGAACTCAAGCATAAATACGACAAATACTCAGAGATCGAGGCTTATTTAGTTTAGCAGCATGACAAGACGCATAATCTGCAATTGGTGTTAATTTTATTGAATTAAGACCTGAACTTTTTTGCAGACCTTCTTCGACAAATAATGTGCCGCATTGTGTAGACGGTTTGACCTTTCATAAACGCGCAAATTACATAATGACTAAAATAATATAAAATGTTTCGTGTATCATTCGAGTGCATTGAAAATTTGTAGTTCAAGGACAATGCATACACACCTCCTTCATGGGCATACGCAGCTTAAGTATCTCCGCATAGCGACGCAGCACCTCCAGTGGTGCATGGATCTGAAATGATTCGACATATATTAGAGATACATATATACAGTTATAGTATATATTTGATAGACATCCCACCTTGACAAAGTAAATCTGGTCCTTTTCACTGAGCTCCACCTCGAGGCCTTGCTGTATTAGATTCTCCTGGAAGATGCGCCGCTTTTCCTCATTTTCCGCCTCCGTCGCCTCGTTAGGATTGGTCCTGTAGGCCAGCACGAAATCTATGGAGCGCTTGCAGTCCGCAAAGAAGAGTGAGGTGTTCAGCTCGGCTCTCTGATAATATTCACGCGGACAGCTGCACTCGCGCTCATCGTAGCTCTCCGTGGGCTCTGGCATTGGCAGCAGAGGATCCGTCTGATTTAAGGTGGGGTTCTTCCCGTTGGTCAACGAGCCGACAGTGTCTGGCAGTTGATAGGTGGAGGATAGGCCGCTGTAAAATGACAAAATTAGAATACAGCTCGTTAGATTTGTGCAAGAGCTTAGCATGCCCAAGACATGTGCGAATGATTTCATTTCATAATGGCTAACATATTCAAACAGCAGCAAATGTTTCCCAGCAGACTTGACCTCTTCACGCTGTACACTGTGAGGTTTGGCTCCCTGCCGTGCTCCGTGCTCATAATCGTGTCGCAGCACTCCCCCAATTATATGGGTCAATATGAATGGGAGCTGTTAACGTTAAATGGGTCGTATACTTAATAACCATCAGAGCAACTAGATTAAAATGTTTGAGCAGCCAGGCGCCTTGTTATATATATGTATTTATACACATATACATACACACTGATATACTAATGTCGGAAATTTAATTATTTGTGCAGCAGTTTTATAGCTCAAAGTGCAATTCAAAATAAACAAGAGCAATGTTATATCAGAAGCTCGCTCGAAAGCTTTGACATGATATTTTCGCTTGAAATGAGTACAAATAAACGATTTGCTAATGTGCAAAAACGGCTGCACATTTAAAGTATTATCAAGTATAATATATATGTGTATAGACACACATATGCGGTACATATATAAATTTATTATTTGCATGTGAAACACATTGCTTAGGTTATCACCTATGATTCAGCTATGGTATATATATTTTCTCCTGCAACTTGACCATGGAATCTGTCACTTGATGAATCACTCACATTAATTTGATGCAAGTACTCACTCGCTGGCTTTCAACTGAAGCTAAGCATATTTTATTTATGTCCATAGGAAACTGAGTTGAGTCTTATTACAGTCATTTCCAAAGAATTTAATTAATATTAAATTGCAAACTAATATTCTAAACAACTTGTATTATAATTAAAGAGGTAATTATCATCTTATTTAAAATATCACTTTCTGATTTACTTACGGCTTTTATTAAATTAACGGTTAACGATTACACATAAGAGATAATACCGAGCTTTTATTATATAGAACTGGTTTAGAAAGGTGCTAAATTAATCTATTTATAATAATGTATATCTGATCTACAAGTATTTAATGTGTTTATATAATATTATATTAATATAAAAAAAAATAAAATAAATAAAATTTAACTAAGCTCGTAGTATTAATATATCTTGCTATTGATATTATCGGCGATACTCATAATTTATTTAAGAATTTTTGCCATATTTTCAATACAACAACAGCTTAACAATGGTCATTCCACATTTGATTATTAGCCGTTCTCTTTGGGCCCTCATTCGCTTAGCTTTTCTGAAAGCTAACAGCTAAATTTGGTTGTTTTTGTTTTTATAATTTTTAGGCCTCCTAACTACAAACAATAATGACCTTCAAACAAATAAAGTAATTAACTTGAAGCTTGCTCAAAATTATACACATTTACATACAATACTGTGGTTACTTTTGACTACACCAAACTGTTTTATATATTTTTTTATCAAGGCCAAAAGATTTTTTGTTCATGGTTTTTTTGGTTGCACTTAAAATTCGTCACCTATGTGAGCAAAAGCCAGGCAAGATGCGAAAATCATTTAATACATATACATTATATATTGTTTATATAGTTTACGCTGAATTTCGATATGACAAATATCTGAAAAAATTAAGAGACAAAAGCAAAAATAAAAGCGCCCACACGACTTTCAACAAAAAACATGACCAGATATTAGCAATACAGCAAAAGAGAGATCCCAGCAGCTGATGAGTAATGCAGAGGAAAATAAGAACAACAGCAACAGGCTGAAGGCACTAAACGTGTTAAGTAATACCGTTTCCGTCTCCGTTTCCGTTTCTGTTTCCGGCTAAGCCATAGTTGCTGACAATAATAAATTGGTGAAAAGAAATCAAACAAATAATATTTGATGCTCTTCGCTCACTAGCCGCCACGCGATTTATTAATCAAATTAACGTTTGTCAACCGCCGCGCGCACACTGCGAATAAATGAAGAAAACGGACAGCGGCAACGATGAAGACGACGACGACAACAACTAATAAAACGACCAACGCGCAGCAGCAACGACAACAAACTGAACGAGCGCCAACAGCTGAGCGCAGAGCAGCTGAGCTGCTGGGTTCGCTTGCCGGGTTGTCTTTTCGTGTTCACTCTCCACCTTACGCTCTCTTTCTACACATTTCTTCACCTTGCCGAACAGTGCTGCTCGCTGGAGTAGCGGGCTAGGCCCAAAATGAAATAAAAAACGAAAAGTAGCAAATATATTTTAAACAATATTAACAATGACCTCTTTCGAGCTCATCATATTAATATGCACATATTTCCTCTAAATATGCCGCCCAAGTATTTTCTGCAAGCCATTAGTGCTTAGCTGAACAATCACACACGTCACGTCACTGTACTCCACTGCACTGCACGACTGAAGAAATGCGACTGCAGAAATGCTGCCGCTGCTTTCCTTTATATATGGCGGCTCTCACTCAGTTAGCTTTAAGGGACCAATGAGCACCCTCTGCTGCTGTAGAGGCTCTCCAACTTCGTTTTACTCAAATATATATGCCAAATGGCTCTTGCGGCATACATATAGACAACTGCAATGATCTTCTGTAGCTCTTCTTCGTCTCCTGCTCTTGTTAGGCAAACTGAGACATTACCGATTACGCTGCTTGCAGTTTCTTTTGTTCTATAATTCTCTTAACGACTTTTAGTCGTGCTACTGCTTGGTCTGCCTCAAGTTTTGGCTGTTCCATCACAATCGCATGTTATCTCATCTCACTTTCTAATAGGCAAGATCTAGCCTGAAATAGGCTGAGCTGACAACACTGTTGCGGAAACGAACAAGAGAGCACGGCATAGCAGCAAATCAGCTGTTATTGGCCAATGCGTCGCAGCGCATCATACAAAGAGAGCGCAGTATGACGAGAGAGCACTTGTTGCGTACATTACACACTTATACAAGCGCAACCATTTCTCACTGCCTATACAAAGATATGTCTTAGTATGCTTATGGGTGTTGGTGAGATGTTATAGTCTTCCCATTACAAGCGGAAAATATGTGTGCTTAGGTCAGTTGATCACCTGTCCAGATTCTGTGCACTTTAATCGAACTCAAAAGGGCAAACGGTAAACAATTACAATTATATATTGATTATTTTTTTATACAGGGTAATTTTGCTCTCACTCGCACGAATTCTAACAAGCAGCTTCAACTCATCTGTCTAACCTTATCAGTAATAAATGATCTCTTCAAACATAATTTAACACTTAAAAATGACAAATAACTGTTTATCTTTTATAAATTAGAGTGACAAAGATAAAGTGTCGCTATGGATAAATAATTAAAAGGGAAAAGATATTCGACTATTACGTACTCTGTAAAGATATTTATAAATAATATACATACATGGAATGTAGCAATCCGTTGGAATATAAATATGTTTAAAAAATTTTAATATGAACACTAAAATAATAATCTAACCAAAAAACAAAACACAAAATTCTGTTTGACTTATGTTTTGAAATCATGAAATCAATACTTGTAGGCACAAAGCCTTTCCATTGTTCATATAAAACTGAAATTTATATACATATGTTTTATAACGAATAGGTGACGTATACTTAAAGACAACATACATATATACATAGATTTACATACATATGTATGTATGTGTATGTATTTGCGAAATCAGAGTCCGCATACAGTTAAGTCTTTTTAATTCGCAAACTCGTAGATCAGAAATTTACTTTTATGTGGTAAAAGTGTTATACTCCGTAAATCTATTTTTTTGTATAACTACTATAAAAAATAATCACAAAACTAATATATATATGCTATTATTATGGATCCAAATTCGTATCTTGACAATTAATTTAATGTTTGATTCACACGCTCGTTCCTAATTAATTAATACATAATTTATTATTGACGAATCAGCCTAAACACCCTGTAAATTGACAAACTACAATTGATAAACAACAACAAGAATGGAATAGTAAATGGAATGTAATTAAGCTAATGACTGTTTCCTCGATAATAGAGTCAAAATACAGGGGGACTTACCTCTCAGCGAATCGCGCCCGTTTCTCGTGCAAGCTCAGTGATTCAGTCGATGACTTTCTGGCCTTTCCGGCTTCTCCGCCTCGCTCAAGATCAACGAAACGTGTCGTTGCCTCGGCGCCTCTGTCGTCTAGCTTTATCGCGCCTCCCCAGATGCTCTCTTTAGCCAGCAGCTTGCCCTGTAGACCGGCTCGCTTTACCAGTTCCATATCGTAAGGGGCCAAGGGGGCCGAGTACGGTGGCTGAATGCTAACATTTGGCCGTGTGGCCTGTTCGGCCAGCACCTGTGCAGACTCCTCTCCGGGCTGGGGTCGAGGCTGAGGTAATGTAGGAGGTGTTTGAAACTCATCAGCATCGCTGCCATCATTGGCATTATCTAAATTTAGCATTTCGCTCTAAACATGTGTGAGATTTTCGCTTAACTATACTAAAAGCTCGCCGGACTTGTTCACTTTCACATATTAATACGTTAGTGTGCGTGTATTTTCGGGTCGCGTTAGCGAAATTTGAGGTCAACTCTGTTGCATTGAGATTATAAATTGCGTGAATGACAACCGTTATCACTGAGTATTGAATCTTGCACCTCTTGTTATACAATTGCATTTGCCGTGATTGAACATAAATAACGGCATCAGCTCCACACCGCCAATACTGCAGCAACCGACCTAGCGGCAACAAAATAAACACTAACGACTAGAATTTGTCAGCAAGATTTAAATACCAAGCGGGAACGCACTAAAAAATACCAAAATATAATACCAGTTGGACATACAGATTGTCATGCAACATGAATGCGAGTTGACATGATATACATACATACATATCTATGTATATACTTGGACAAACAAGTGCAATAAGACCAATTGACCTGTGCATTGACTGTCATGCAACTGTGAACGTATCTGTTATCATATTTGCTCGCATCAAAGTAAATAAATAAAGTTCGAATTAAATAACAGCTTGTATTTGAATGGAATAAAACATTAACAAAATAATACACTTTAATTAAGAATTGCAAAAGCAAAAATTAACAGTGATTAACAAATAGCATTTAACGCACCGAGGTTCTATCTTGGTGAAACAACAAATTTTTTAATATATGGAATAATAATACAGCAGTGTTTAATATAGTATGCACTATTATTAAGGGGCTAAATTATGCATTAAAGAGTTGAACTTGGACATCGAATTTACAATAGAACGAGCAATATTTTGGATACGGCCAACGCCGTTGACGTCGTTGTCGCGCCCAAAAATTTACTTCCTGTTGTAGTTTTTGTGCACTTCGGGAGAGATGTTATAGACGAACTGCAAGATCTCCTGAATGACGGGTTCTTTGCGTGTCCTGATGGCAGCCTCCATATCGGCCAGCTTCACACGAGTATCAGCATCGATTTTCGCTGCAACTCCTTCGCGGCTGCCCATATGCTGTATTGATATATTGAATGATATATGTACATATTTCACTCAGCGCCTATTAATGATTAACTAACCTTGGCCTCGAATTCTTTAAAGGCGCGTTCGCGCTCCTGGCGGAATTTCTCGATCTCCTCGGTGGCCTCATCCTTGGCTTGCTTCAATCTCCTTGCCTTGCCTGCAATTGTAGCAGAGTGTTTTTCATAACATCAATATTTACTCGAGTGCAAACGAATCATGTGACTTGATGTCGCTCGACGCGCGTAACGTCGATAGCGAAAAAGTCGTAAGTCGTAAGTCGTTTCATGTCTATCCAATTGGACGATAAATTAGTGGGTTTTTGCTTACGTTTTCTGGCCTCGGCAACCTTCTCGGCTGCCTTCTTTTCGGCAGCAAGCAATTGCTGTATTCCCTGCGTTTGGCTGGCCATTTTAAGGTATTTTAAAAGTTAATGTTTTCTGCTCGCTCGGGCCGTGGTATCAATGCAAGTTGAAAAAAGCAAGTGACGACTACGACAGACTTAACACAAACGACGTGAAAAATGTCATATGACGAAGTCACACACACGCATACACACTAAATTAGTGAAAAATCGATTATATCGAATAGAAAATTATGCGCGATAAGTTCCATTGCACAGAAAAATACTATCGATACATTTCCTATAATCGACTCCACCAGTTAACAGCAGATAAGTTCGCTTAAATTCCTACAAAACTAAATACAGCAGCTGTGATGACTCTCAACACTTAAGTTGAATATTTATACAAAATGTATTTTAGTTTTAAGAAACCACATTGTGTTTGTTGTCATTCAAACTTATTACGCGTTGTTATGTTTTAGTTTGTATATTTTTGAAATAATTAACTCAAGCCGACGCAGTACAACAATTTAAAATTGAGCGTGACGTATATAATTTGAATAACAATCCAAGAATTACACACAATTTATCGAGAAGCCGCCACATTTGCATGCAAGTGCAAATTTACAACTTCTTTTCGAAATTTTAAGTGATTAGTAGTTTAAATATCTGTGTTATTTTCAACCTTTATTATAAAGCCGTTTTAAATCGAATGCTAAAGCTTCATGATAGCAAATTATTCAATTTGCTTATCTAGAATAGTGGATAGTATTTTAATAATAACCAAGTGGTATTCTTTGAAGAGGTTCGCTGATTTTATTATAAGGAGTCGGTCACTCTATTGCCAGTAATCTCAACAAAAATAGCAAAAATTTGAACAAACTTAATATAAGCATATATAGAGTTGATTTACCATGGAAAGGCCGAACAAGAACAAGCGGGTCGTGCGCGATGAAAAACAACGGGAGCTAAAGCTTGAGGATGTGGTAAGTCGTCATACCAGCAAATTCTACACATTTAGAACAAAGGCAACAAAAAATAATAATAATGTGAATCCCGTTACCAGGTGCTGAGATCCTTAGACGAATGCACCACAAATGAGGACAAATTGAAAGTGCTATTGCAGCGGCACGTGGAGAGCGAAAAAACAGTGACCCGGCTCACCGCCGAGATGCGTGCGCTACAGCGGCATATGGAGTGCCAACAACGGGAGAAGGAGCAGGTGCAGCGGGAGCTTAACAAGAGCGTTCTCATGAGGGATAAGCTGCAAGAGGTGTGCCGGGAGCAGCAGCGCATACTTAAGTCTGTGAAAAACGAGAGTATGCTGCAAATCAAGGTCGAGGAGGAACGACGCAAGGAGAGTCAAACGAAATTTCAGAGTTCGTTAAACGAGGTGCAAAAGTCGCTGTCCAAAAACAACGAGGAGAACGTTAAATTACGTGATTACAACATCGAAATGACCAAAAAGTAAGTGGCGCTGCCGCCAATCAGCAGAGAATCACCGGTGTGCGCTGTCTATTTATAGGCACGACACTGCATGCCGTTTTCTTGTGAATGTATGTATCTGGCTGCCACATACATACATACACACGCACAGACACAAATATAGGCATCAATCGACCATATGTTCGCCACACAAATATGTATATATGTATATTTAAATGTATTTTTGTATGTGTTTTTAGATTGAAACTTTTAGCTGAACAATATCAGGCACGTGAGAAGCACTTGGAAAAGCTGAACGAGCAAGTCCAGCTCGAGTCTCAGCTGCATCAGGCGAAGCTCAGCAAGGCTCAGGTTGAAGCTGCTATGGAAAAAGAAATACTAACCAAGTGAGTATAAATTAAGTAGTTGTTCTCTTCACTCTTATCATATATTTTTCAAATAGAGAGAATCAGATTGGTCTGGAGAAATTGTTGCAGGCACAGCGCTCGATCAAGGATCTAACGGAACGGGAGCAACAGCTCAAAGAGCAACTTAATATCTACACGGCGAAATACGATGAGTTTCAGCAATCGCTTAAGAAATCCAATGAAGTCTTTGGCAGTTACAAGATCGAGCTAGAGAAAATGTCCAAGCACACCAAGAAAATTGAGAAGGAAGCACTGGGCTGGCGCCAAAAGTATGAGAAAGCGAACGGAATGGTCATTGAATTGGCCACCGAAAAACAACAACGAGACCAGCAGGCGGAACGCCTACAAAAACAGGTGGATCAGCTGCAGAAGCTACTGCGCGCACTGCAACTAGAGCGTACAACACTTCACCAGACTCTTCGTGAGAATCAAATTCCGATTCCTGCTATGCCACAGCTGCCGCCCGAGCCAGAGCCCATTAAAGTCGTGCCCATCAACACGGACAGTGCCAAAATGGAGCTGATGACTCGCAACTGTGCTGAACTGAAGCAGACCCTGGCCAACTTGCAGAATCAAATGAAGCTGCTTACCACAAATGATGCGAAAATAGCCGAAGCAGAAAGGAAACAAGCCGCCGAAGAGCAACAGAGGGCAAACAATATCAAGAAGAACAATAAGAAAAAGGCCAAGTCAAAGGCTAAAGCTGCAGCAGCGGCTGCGGCAGCGGCGGCTGCTACCGACGGGGAAGCGGATACTCCCAGGCCTGAACGGCCAACAGATGCAGATGCACAAGCACAAGCTGAGGCAGTGCCTGAGCCTAAGGCTGAGCCCGAGCTGGAGCCAGAGGCAGAGGTTGAGGCCGAGGGCGAGGCTGACGCCGACGCGGAGGCAGCAGAGTGTGAAATTGTAGAATCTGACAATGTGGAGCATCCCAAATCTTCTGAAGCTTCTGAAGGGAACTGCAGTGCAAACGATTATGATGCCGGAAAAGTGCCAGAATCTCAGCAAGCGTCTGTTGACCAATCGGAAGTGCCTGCACTGATTGATGCCAAGTAGGATCGGGGGCTCGACATAAATGCGCCTCCCTCCTCGACTGTCAATGTGCTTGTGCTTGAAATTATTGCAACCTTCTTGTATATGTGCATTTTGATGTATTCATTTTTACAAATATTTATGTACTTTAACCAAACCAATGTAAAACCACCAGCGGAATAGAAAGAAGGAAAGAAAACAGCTCAAATCGATAATTTATTATTTATTCTATTTTATACTTATTTATTAATGAGCCCATTTAGAGCTACTATAGGCACACAATAAAATATAAATTTTTCAATAAATGATCTAAAATATTAAAAAAATAATAATAATAGCAATAAATCATATATACATTTGTAAACGAGGGTCGATTGAAAAATATCCGATAAACCAAAAAAAAAAAAAAAAAACATTTACAATTTTTTTTCTTTAAAATCGGATATATTTCAGCCTTGTCTCGTATTTCTGATTATTTTCAATAAATAAAATTATTAATTTTTTGTTAAATATATATTTTTTTTTTGCTTAAAACTCTTTGTTTTATTTACTCGAAATACTTATATGCTCTAAGCAATATTCGTTTATAATAAATAATAGATATTTAACAAAAATAATAATGATTCGACTATCGAACGTAATATATACTCTATTCATGTATGGATACAAATTATATATATAAAGATATATTTTTTACAATTTTGCTCAATTTCGTAAATTAAAAGATTTTCTATAACTAAAAACCGAAATGTAATTTGAATACATATATATTTATATCACATATTGTAATACCCATAATATACTAAATATATCTTACAATAAATATAAAACAGCGAAATAGTTTGCGTTGAGTGTAGATATTAGGTATTATGAGAACTTATATATAAGTATTTCTCTGCAGGAATCGCGAATTCAAGCTCTATTATATCAGGGTCATAGAAATACAATTGTTGGAATATCTGAAAAGCCCGAACTAACAGAGATTCGTAGCACCTCATAAGCCTTCAGGAAATTACAATCGAATTGTTGATTACTAACTCTATTTTTCTTATGCTCTTCAAACACGGAGAACCTAGTTTCTGAATTAGTTAAGCAAATGGCTTAACATAACTTAAATTGCCTTTAAAATTGCTGGTATTTTGTTCAACTATGCAAATTACGAAGAATGTTGTGCTTTAGTTTCTTGAGCTGCCGCTGCTGCGGCTGCTGCTGCACCCGTTGCCGTGTCGCCGTGCGTAATTGGGCAGCAAATTGGCAGTTGGGTGCCACAGTGTCTGCCGTGGCATGCAACAAATTGCATTGACTTTGTCCAGTGTTTGCTATGCAAAATTGTTGCTTCACGGTCAATATGAGCACAGCGTAATTGCGGCACGCAGCTATCATTTTAGCTAGCCGTGCGACGCTGTGATATGCATATTTGAAGTGCCACGCGTGCCACGTGGCGTATGCGTAATGTCAACATAGTGGCTGTCGAGGCGCTGGACGGCTTACGCTAAGCTCGCACAATTTAAAAAAAGCCATTTAAGTGCCACACTAAAATAATTACAGAAATTATTTTAAATTGCATGAAGCGGCAGGCGACTACAAGGAATGACCCCAATGGCCCCCACGGGCCGGGTGTGAAATTTCGCCAGCCATATAGGCGACACATGTGCATATTTCACACTTATGCACACTTACACACAGCCACACAATCACACACGCACACACACACATACACACACACAGACGCGCGTGGGCACACAAATGTGTGCACATTTTGCAGGCAATGAGCTTTTGAGCATTTAATGAGTTAATTCGCTAAATTTGAAAGGCGCGCAAGCGTGCGCCAAGTGCTCGACCAGACTGTTTCCTGCCATGTTGGCACCCTCGAAATACCCGTTACTCGTTATCCGATTCCCGGTGCCAGCTTCATGACCGTCATCCCACAAGTTGCCCATTTTAAAGCATGAAACATGAAAATGAGAAAACGAAAACAACAACAAGCCACACACGCACACACACTTATACACAGAGAGAAAGGTATACATACATGGACACTGTGTAAGCACTTGTCATTTAGCTGTAAAATGTCGGTCCGTCCGTTGGTGAAAAGCATGCCACTGTTCGATACTCAACAATGCAAGGACGCGAGGGCGGCATATAAAGGATGCTCATGCTAAGCTCTTGGGTGTAATTTCTCAGGCACTGGCAAAAGACGACGATGGCAGCGAAAGTTAACAGCGAAAGTTAACAGCGTCGTTGACTGAGACGCCAGCAGCGCAACATGAGCCCAACATATGCCCCAAAACCGAGTCGAGACTAAAAACAGAGCAGAGATGAGGCTAGATGAGCAAGGAGCAACCCACACAGTCTTTTATTTTTGTGGTGCTGCCAGACTGTGTGACTCGGCAGTCAGCGATGGGGTCAGCCTAACAGCAGTGGGATACAATTCAGCACCATGGGACAAGTGGAATAATATATCAAACTCGACTTTTTTCTTTATAAAACTAAATGTTATTTATCAAATTTAAATATAACACAAATATAAAATATGTCATTATATATCAAAGTAAAATTGATTTAATATACACAGAAATTAGAAAACTTTAGCTCATGTTTTAGCTTTGAGTTCCACTGTCTGCGCTGGCTGCCATCGCACCTATACCAAGCCATCCAGTGGGCCTCTTCGCCTCGTTGTGTGTTTCTCACTCTCTCGCCTCGTGTCCTCTCTTAGACGCTTGCTCTCGCCGCAAGAGGCCCACGCCGCCAGCGCTGCGGCGAGAGCATAATATGGTGAAGCTGTCGGTGCTGCCCGCCGTTGCCGTTGCCGTTACCGTTTCAGTCTCAGTCTCAGTCGCAGTCTCAGCTGTCAGGCGTCTGGCAAAGCTGTGCTTAGTCAAATTTCGGTAACGGAACCTGCTCGTCATCGCTAGCGCCGAAGTGAACGTAGACGCCGACGTCGTATAGCCGACACGAACAAAAAGCGAACCGAATCGGAGTTGAAGCGACGCAACGCGACGCGACGCGACGTCGACGTCGCTGCCCAGTTGCCATACGAGCCTCTGTCGCGCTCGACTTCGCTGCAAGGAATATAATTGTAATCAGTTGTGTATAGGACACACGCGTGTGCGCATCGACTGGTTCCTTTCTAACGAAAGCGTCAACATTTCGCTAACGGAAACTGTGCTGCTTGGCGGTAAAGCTGCGCGACTGGTGCTCAACTTGTATTTATCTGCTGCTGTTTTAATTGTTGTTGCTGCTGTCAATTGTTGATTGTGGTCCTTGTTGTTGTTGTTGCGCCATCGGACTCTATTTGTCAAATTTGTCAAATAAACGCGCGTAGCAGCGTAAATGAAAAAATTTTCCAGCTACAGCTGCTGGCGGTGCCACGGCCGCAGCTGCTAGTGCTGCTGCTGCTCTGCCAGCGTCGCAGCCGCTGCTTACGACTGCGCTGCTGCGCTGTCCGAGATAAAGGATATGCCCGGATCTAAAAGATACAGTTTTTTTTTTCGCCAACTTGTGCAGGCTGCTTGCTTGGCTTTTTGCTGTGTCGCTTCGTTCCTAAGCGAACTTAAGCAGTAACAGCAACAAAAGCAACAACAAACAATCACAGCAACAACTTTAACAGCAGCAGCAAAGAGAAAAAATTACAATGTGTGTGCGTGCGGTTTGGATAGCAGAGTAAAAATGAGTGACAAGTTGGCAAAAACCAAAAATGAACAAAAGTGTGCACAACTATGCAAATAAATTAATAAGCCAAAGTCATTACCAAATTAAAATAAGACACGCAAATGCTGAAGGCGGGCAGCCAGAAAAAATTAAATAAATAAAGGAAGAGTCACAACGAGGACCTTGTCAAGTGCGTTGAGTCGCGTCGAGTCAAGTTGAGTCGAGTCGAGTCGAGTGTGGAAAGTCAAGAGGTTCTGGGTTCGGAGTGTCAGAGCTGCTGGCATGCTTTGGGGCTAACTCGTTCAACGTTCTCGTCCTCGCCCTCGTCGTCCTCGCCGCCCTCGCTATCCTCGTCGTCGTCATCACCGCCAAAGGCATCGAAGGTAAATATATACGTAGCACAGCTAGGCCAAACAAACTAACCAACAAAGTAAACAATAGCGTAACGGAACAAATGCAAATTTATTACCTAGACACATACCAACACCTAGGCAATATTTAGAGTTCAACTATTTAACCGTTGCACAGTGCAACAGAAATCCTTGCTGAAACTCCTTTCCAAAGCTTGGGCAGCATATACGGAAAGGATTAGAGAGTAATAACAACAACTTAATTAAAGGGAAAATAATAAAAACAATAATTAATTAATAAAATATGCAATATAAATTTACAGAAAGAATAAATTGAGAGTTTTCTGATTTTGTTTTAATTTTTTATTATTTAAAGTATATTCGCTTTTAGTTTAATGTACAATTTTATTTATTATATTGAATGTTTAATAAATATAAAAATTCATTATCAGACACTGAATAATATGTTTCTGTTAACTTTTAATATTTTTATTTTTTGGCAACAAATTGATTTTCACATTACTTGTAATTTATAGCCACTGTGCAACTTACATTGTCATAAAAAAGCCATAAAACCAACGAGCATGAAACAAACAAAGAAATCAAAATGACTTCAATACTCTACCAAAGATTCAAGTGAAATAGAAGTAGAAGAAGAAAATGAAGATAACAATAAGGAATGGTCTATATGTGCCTTAAGCTACCTATGTCTGTCTGTCTGTCTTTGTCTCTTCGTCAGCCTGTTTGTCTGGCTGCTTGTTTGTTTGTTTGTTTGTGCATACATTTTTAATCGCATGCGATTTATTTAACTAGGCGCTTTGGGTACACTCACACTCACACACACACAACGCCCAACTCCCAATCAAACACTGGCACAAAAGGCACGTATACAGTGGGCGTTGTTAGTTTGCATACAAAGGCCAAATGAGAACCGTCAGGTGGAAAATCAAAATTCTGACAAAAACATGTTTACATGCGGCGATTCCTATGTCGCGCCTATGGAATTCATTTGGTTTATTGCAATTTAAGGATACATACATATACAATATGTATGTATATAATATGTAAATTTATTAATATACATATGTGTATACAATATTATATTTGTATAAATTACATTACATATACAAATGATACATTTTTAATCCATTTTAAAATCTGTTTTATATATAATTATATATTATTATTATTATATATAATTTTACCCTCTATATAGAGAGTGCTCAGCTTCAAGTCCCAAGTTAATGTATGCAGTATTCCGCTATTTTTCGAACGACATATTAATAGTGTCCAACTTTATAAAACTTTCAATAAATAAAATAAAGTAAAAAGAACTGCAAAATCTTTGAGTTATATAAATATGTAGAACAGAAACATAACATATTATGACATAATATATGTATATGGCAACAACAAAATCTGAGCTTCTAACAACAAATCAGACACGAATCTGACAGCCAACATAGACAGCAGACAAAAAATACACAAACACGCAGCTCATGTGATACATCGAAAGCGGATACACATTCAGTCTTAAAGACTCAATCGAGCTACAAAACAGGTAGAGAAAACTGCGCACACACAAACACACGCACATACATGCAGAATTTACAGAAAAGTTTCGGATGAATTTAAAGCTTATTTTGTGTAGAAAGTGCTGAAGATGATAACAAAATAAATTACCAAAAGAAGTTGTAAAACACATTTTAGTTTAGTTTTTATTTTCAATTTGTTGGTGAACTTATCGACAGCTTAGAATTTATAATATATTAATTTGCCAAAAATTTCATTTTATTTAATTAAAATATTCTATGCAGCTCCAAGGCAGAGGACAAAATTCATAATCCTTTCAAAAGTATTTAGTTTCATTTTAATAATGCAAGCGTGAAAGTATGTATATTTATAATTGGATTTATGGAAAAAAAAAACAACTGTAATAAATAGAAACTATTTTCATGCAAATTAATGTTTATGGTTTTTTTTTTTTCTTTTTTAAAGAATTTTCATAAATTTAAATTGAATGCATGCTGTATTATCTTCTATTTAAACATATGTGCTTGGGCATAACATCAATTTAAATTTAAATATATCTTACATACTCTGTGGCCAGCTGCATTCTGAATGTACATATATATTCATAAATAAATACATATAAATATATATATATATATATGAATATCTCTTTGTATCACACAGCAAAAAATAAAAACGAAAATTTCTATAGTTTATACAACAAAATGCGCTTGGAAAGTCCTTCAGCTAGATTGCAATTCATTAAATAATGTGCGAGCAAGCCGCTTAGTGTCACACACACACACCCACATACATATTTATGTATATTCATGTATTTATATAATGCCTGACGTTGTTTATTCGGCCATATTTTAAGTGTTGCCAACTAACAACTAAAACAACAACAACAACAACGTGGCCTGGGATGCTGCACAAAAGATGCGGCGGCAACATGGAAAAACGGAAAACAAAAAAACACTTGAGGCAAAACTAAGCGGCAATTGTGATTGCGGCTGTTGTTGCATTTATAAATAGCGTCAAGGTGCGCTCTACTTTTATTCACCCACACACACACACATATACACACTCAAAAACGCCTACGCCTGAAAATAGAAAATGTTATAAATAAACTCAACTGAATGCAACTCAAGGATCAACGCGGTGCGATATGCGGACTGAACGGAACATGATTTTTAATCAAATTATCATTGACCAAGGCTTGTACAAAACGGCATGTGACATTTGGCCAGAAACAGGCTTTTAGCCAATGGCTTGAGCGTTGTCATGTTACAATAGTACCATGCGAAGGGCAAGTGTTGTGACCTTTTGGGGCCTGGTCAAATATTTGTTAGCTAAACGCTTAGACACGCAATGCGGAAAACGGCAATAAGAAGGCGTGAAATGATTCAAACGTTTCACCAAATTTTTTTAATCACTTGAGGGTGTTTCCCTTCCTTGGGATTGGATATCAAACTACATGGGTTTTCGCACACGCAGCCAATGGCATATATGAATGTATGTATGTGTACTAAGCCAACAAGCAATTTTTATAAGTAATTGGAAAGAAAAGTAAACACAAATAAATGGAGAATATCAAGTTGCTATATATGAAATGTTCAGTTTATTTATAGGTGAAAACTATAAAGAATTTAAGGTGAAATCTATAGAAAATCTAAAATGTGGACTACTTAAATATAATTTGTAAATATTGTAATATAGACATATATTTACAGTTTTAATTATGCTTCATTGGGTATTAGATATATTTAAAAGAAAAATATATTTATAGCTCCTAGTTCATGTTATATAATTTACTGTATTTTTTGTTCAGTTTGACAAAGGATTAGCCTCATATCCTGCAAAACTTACGCAAGCCCACACAATCAGGAAGCAAAAATCAAACTAAACTTTCTGGCGTGCTGTATCTGATCTTTATATGTTAGCTAGAAAAAATTGATTTATACCGAAGCTGAGGGAAAGAGAAAGAGAGAGAGAGAGACAGAAAGTGTAGGAGCAGTGCAACACTCTTGCGAGTACAACGATTCTACTATAGACTTTTATTTGTATTCGATAATAGATAATAATGATAATAATAATTTGAGTAATTTGTAATAGATAATAATGATAATATTAATTTGAGTAATTTGCATATTTAATATGCATCGGATTTATAATTTACTTTTATTAAACGCTTAGATAAATTATTAAATGTCACAAGCTTTGATTGCACGCATATTCACGCACTATGAGACGGCGGCCCATCGAATATTGTATATAGATCCAGGGCCAACAACAAGGATATTTATAGGATACATCAAAGTATCTGTACATGCATGCGCACATGCATGACTGAATGAGTGTACACATGTGCAACTGTTTACTTTCGCTATACCCTGGAATCATTAAGGTAAAGCGCAGTATCAGTATGCTTAAAGAGAAAATGAAAAATTCCTCTAGAACTTGATGGAACTTATGTAGACCATTGCCTTACTACAGTTTGAATAAGTCTGAGTGCATTGCAGGGTATGTGTTAGTTGAGCACTTTGTCGGGGTAAACTCTTACTTTTGTTTTATATGAGTTTCGAACACTGTTTTACGGCCAGCGGCTGAATGTAAAGTTGTTCAAAAGTTGTTCGTGTACGCAGCGGCAATACGTATACGCCATGTGTTACGCCCAGCAACGGAAGTTGGCAAGATTTGTCAGCGAATGTGTGGCTGGCATGGCCTTGATATAACGGTTTGCTAACAATTTCTAATTGCCACGTAGGTGGCGTCAAATACACAGTTACATGCGAGCATATGTTGCCAAACATGCAATTAACAAACGGCACGGCGCGGCGACCAAAAAATTCTTGTCGAAGCAAAAACTGAAAATGTGGCAACGTTGCGCTGCCCACACACCAACACCCACACACTGGCATACATACACGCAAACATTGCGAGATGAGTGGCACTTACAAGCATTAATTACTATGCAGGGACTGGCCAAGTAGATGCCAAAGGGCCGCCAACAGCAGCCAAGAGACCGCCAGTCGAGTCGTCCACACTCATTGGGCGCTTTAATAACGGAAAACAAATTTTATATACATACATATACATATACATATACGTACGCTTATATACGGTTATGAATGTGTGTGTATGTATGCGTGCAAACATATACTAGAGCATACTTTTTCGGGCAGTTTTTGCATGACTTGTGCCTTGAATGTTTCCAGTTTTATTGGCATTGTTAGCAGTGTTGTTGTTGTTGCTGTTGTTGTTGTTGTTGTTATTGTTTCCTATCGCTGTTTTCGTTTTTTTTTTTGGCATTTATTTTTAGCCGAAAAAACTTTTACACAATTTTTTTATTTGATTTCCTTGCCATCATTATTATTATTACACTCGTCGAGCATAAATACAAAATTGTTGAAAGAAAAAAAACCTTGTTTTCAATGATTTAAGGAAATTATAAAGTGTGAACATTTGTGCAAACAATAGTAGATAATCTGTGTAGAGAATGAATAACTAGGACAGATGTG